AGACAGCTATGACACGTCTGAGAAGGTCATCAAAGAAACGTGTCCAAACTATTGCCCTCTCCTCCACGCTGCGTCGTTCACACGGAAAAAACAACCAAACCACACACACAAACAAGGTTCCCTCAACTTCCATCCCGACTCTGCTCACCTGCCCGGCAGAGAAGCTAATTGGAGTCAGACAGATGAGACCGAGAGTAAATAGAAGACGTTGATCTCTTTATTAGAGGAATTCTGAATGGAAAAACGAGAATCAACAGCATATTAAAGTCTCCCCGACTTACTCATTTAAAATACTCTTCAGATGCAATGCATTTCCGTTTTTTCTTATATTTGGTACATTTTTATCATCCAACATCTACATAGCAGAGCCAGACTTGCGCATATTGATTACCTTATGAATTCACACACTAATTTCTACCAGCCAATCAAATTTTAGTGGCTTATGAAATCAAAATTTATTTTAAATACATGATGCATGCTGTAATATAGAACTGCCCCTGTTTGATCTCAGCCCCTCAATGCAGATTCCCAGATTTCAGCTCACTGTTATTCTATTTACCTTGTCTTCCTTATACAATGTTTTCCTGGTGAAAGTCAGGTTTGATCTTTATACCATAAAGTCCAAAATCACTAAAACCATGCCTCAAAGGGCTGTGCAATCCAAATAGTACATCACTTACAATTGCCTTCTATCGTTAGCCCCTGCGTTTGGATAGAGTCTGATGAAGAATCCCAGATCTGAGATGACTGACTGTCCCAGAGATGGCCGATCGCTCCCTTGAGAGGCCTCATGTTTTGCACTTCAACATTTCCTCCATGCTGTTACATGTCAGTATCCAGGGCAGGAATAATACGCAGTTTAAGTACCTCTCACTCAGTCACGTCTCCCAGACCTAACAAGGTGCAATCAAGTCAAATCTCTCCAATGGTAATGATCACGGCCAATAGCGATCGGAAAGTGAAAAATCTCTGCAAAATTTCCACTTCCACACATTGCAGTGGGTGAGCGAAGACAAATGAAACTGATCCGGGGGAGTTAATTCTCTGTAGTGCTGCTGCCGTGTGACCCTGAATCATTAGTATGGGTAAGGAAAAATGACCATTAGAGAGAATGATGGTGACTGACACATCACTTGGGAATCATCTGTCATGCTTCACGCCCACTAACGTACGTCAAACACACTCTCAGTTTTTTGTGTTGCTCTAGTCAGTCAAGACGTAATAGCAAGAGAGGATACTTGATCAGTCTAGTCTTCACTACATGACTCATAGAAACCATTGAATATCTGGAGTATTACCATGTTGAGTTCAGTATTCTAGAGGTGAAAACCCAGGCTGCTTTAAGCACGATTCCGCCTACTTAACCTCATCCCTCCTCCATGTCTACGGTGGACATCCTTGACTGTCTGTTAGGTGAGGGAATATGTTAAATCGCAGGAAGAATGAAAGTTACAGGGTCAGGATAACAGGGGCAGCCCTCCATCGCCCCGCATCCTTCCATGGATTGACAAGCACCTGACGGATGGGGAGGGGGGGTGCCGCGGGGTAGGCAAGCCACTGATCTTTCCATCAGAATCGAGTAGAAGAGTGGGAAGCACTTTTCCTTCCATTCTACAGTGAATTCTCCCAGCTTACTTATTTGCTTTCTCGCCTTGCAGCCATATTTTCAGGAACTTGCAAAAAATTATGCCTCACCTCCCAAGAGGTAGTTTTCTATCATTTGGCATGCTGCAGAGAAAATGCCTTACCTAGACTTTGGCAACTCTGTTCTACCTGCCTCTCTCTCACTTACGATGAGACACATACTCTCAACTGGTCAACAAGTATTACAATCCTTAATGCCAGGTTACCAATCTGACTTCCTCTTCGCTTTTTCTTTACTTTTTTTTTTTTTTGGGACTGCAAAGACTGAACAGCAAACCAGCGTAAATCTTATAGATAAATGTGTAAACGGTCTCAGACTCACGTAAATAGCTTTCATTACAGAAATGTCATGAAGCTCAATGATACTTTTCACAGCTGACCGATTCCAGTCATCTTCCTACTAGATCTTTCAGGGCAGATGTTTTGCATCTTTTAGCATGCAAAACACGGCAGGCTCTCTTAGACGCATATGATAAAATTCAACTTTACACTCACAATTAATTGAGCTTTATTAAGCAATAGATATTTGTCGATGCGTTACATGTCAGCAAACTAGTCTCATGTGAAATTTCCTCAAGACATTAGGCTGGGGCTCCTGCAATCAAACTAGCAAACTTTTTCTCCTCTTTTGATGTCGCTCATATCGCAGGACGATCAAAGTGGAAGTGATACCTGACTGCGCACCAGAAGACGGAGAGGATAGTTCGGAAGCACGCACACACACACACAACCACACACACACACACACAACACAAACACACACAACACAACACACACAACACACAGACGCAGTTATTCATTATCATAAAAGATTGATGACCATCTTACCCATGTCCAGCTTGCTCCTATTAACTCCCTCTGTGCACATTACTATTGCTGATTTTCTTCTAAACTGGATTAGAAACCCCGCCAGCACAATTCACAAATACCTCAAATTCAACTACTATTCATCTCTATCATTGAAACATGACGATCCTTATTACAGTACATCCTGTGCATCGTGGCTTTTTGTGAATGTCAATCCATTACGGCTGCTTTTTAATCCCTGGACCTCTCAGGTCATTACCTGCTGAACATGGTGTGATGATGCATGGTTTTCTCTTTTCCCATCCAGAACCACGACTTCAACGGTGAACTCACAACCAGCTACAAAGAGCTGATGTCGGGGTCAGAGCCAGGAATTAAACGTCTACCGAGCCGCGAGTGCGAGATAGAAAGAGAGTCTATACTGTTACTTACACACTGTCAGCTGTATCCCGCCAGCAGACTGCAGGACCCTCATGTAAACAGCGGGCTGTGCTTTCACATTTCATTTTGACAAGTTGCTTACTTCGTTCCCTGCTGTTTTCTCTTGATCTTCTTTCTCATACTTAAAACAAAAATTTCAGGTTCCACAGTAGCAAAAACCTCCTTTTTATCCAACTCTCGAAGGTATAATGTGATACATCATATTGATTCAAATACAAAGATTTTACTGTGCCAGCTTAACTGAGTTTTCAAGCGGAAGTGAAGCACACCGGGCAACCGCTACTGTACCTGCTCAGGTCCTGTGTGCAAAACTACTACATAGAATAAACTCGTAGGACACACCTTTCGCACAAAAGTTATTCCTGCAAGGGCCACAGAAACAAACCTATGCTCACATTTCATGGGTGCAGGTGAGAAAAACAATTTCGATAAAGAGCCAAATCAGTGCTCCCTTCTGGCTCGTGCAAGGATTCTTGTTGAGCCAGAGTTTAATTTGACAGGATCTTACTCTCCACGCCGTGGCGTCGTCTTTGAGTCGCGATTGTTGGCTATTTGAGGATTAACAGCAAAACCTCCCCTGTCTCCCCTGCCCTGCCCGGCATTAAAGCACTCCGTAAGCGTTAAAAGTGGTGCAGCAGACCAGATGAGAAAAAGGTGTTCTGTGTTGAGCAATACAAATGGGAAGCACAGAGCTATGACTGCTAGACTTTGGACTTTTTTTTGGCATGGTCCTTTTGAGCGGTGAGATAGGGTATTACTGTTTAGGCGCTGGAGGCTCCTATCGGTTCCCTGCTCATTAAAACATCTTGCCATGTACACTTAGCCTCTGAATTACGTCATCGGTGGTGGATTAAGCGAAAAGAACAGGCGCCGCTATGAAGAGAGAGAGTGGCGCGAAAAGATGGTGGGTAGGTGGTACGAGGGGGGCTGGGGCGGGGGGGGGGATGCAGAGGAGGGTTGAGGAGGGGGGGGGTAAGGACAGAGCGAGCGAAAGACATAGAGGAAGACGGAATGAGTGAGTGGCATGAAAAGCTGCCCTGCTGACACGGCAGAAGAAGGTGCATCCATTACCCTTCACCAAACCTTTCTGTATTTTCATCGGAAAATGAAACACAGCAGTTTCTCCATGCACTCTTTGCCAGGTCAGTGCCCTTGAAGCAGGCTCAGGATTTAGCCAAAAACTACACGAATCCACCTTTTCACAGCTGACAAATAGAAAGCATTTGAATAGGTCACAGGCCGCAGTGTTTGACTCTGTGCAGGCTCCTGTGTACTCAGCCTGACATGCACGAGGCCCGCAAACATTAGCTCTGTGAGCTGAGATGACAGCGGGCTAATGCTAACGGAGGCCGGTATAATTCAAGGTGATGTCTGTGTGACGCAATGCGAACCTGGTTGTGACTGAGTGATGTCTGCGGCGCTGTGAGGCATCATCATGTGTTGGAGGAGTTGAGGAGGAACGACAGAGGCAGAACGGAGGAGTAGAGCCCACGGAGAGCCTGGGATAACTTCACCTTTATTATACAGCTCGCTCTCCTCCAGGGGTGCGTTTCCTGTTTGTGTGCAGACCCACAGAATGAGCAGTAGATATGTCTGACCTTGATAGCTTACTGTCCCATACATGTTTGTGGCTGCGAGCTCTACATGTAACATTAAGTTAAAGCAGGGAGAGCTGTAATAGCTCATAATCAGCTCTCCTTATCATTTTTGTGTATCTATGTGCACGCCTGTGATATTCGCACACTACGTAGTTCAGCCTGTATGTGGTTGCCATTTTGTTCATGACAAATAAATGGTTTGTGGTGAGATATAGGACACGTTTTCCACACCCCAGAGCTTGGTAATATGCATGTAAAATGTACAGCACAATATAGGCGCTTATAAAAATCCCCCTGAATAATCTGTGTCTTGCTGCGAGGCATGATCAATGCTATCTCATTCTCACCCACTGCGGTTATTGGATTCAGTCCCTATGCTCCATTACCCTTACAGACATGGAGTAGGAGGACAAAGATGTTTTTATTACTTGCCCCAGGGGGGATAAAAAGAATTGTGCTGTAAGTTTATATTATCATTATCCTTCTTTTTTTATTCTGCCTTTATGCCAGGTGGTGAATGCCAAGAAGAAAATAAAGAAAAAGAGATACATCAACTCTGGGACGGTGAGACTCAGTTCTAAGATAAGTGCAAACCTCCCGGTGCACTCGCACCCCTCACCCTGCTTTGCTTTCGTATTCATCAGGAAGTTTCCTCTAAGTGGATTGCATGAGGCAGTTCAGCTCTGTTAAATGTTTTTGTTCCGTTCCCGGTCTCAAGGCTTTTGATCCAGACAGTGAATTTTAAGTAGATGGGAAAACATTCTCTTGACCTGAAAGGGGGTGAAACACAGAGTCCACAGGAGTGCATAAAGGGACTCTTGTCAGCCACACTAATGTTCTCAGTGATTGTGATACTAATATGCTGCCCAGATGTCAAAATCACTCTGCGTGGATAAGTCATTTTGTGGATTGTTGGCTCAGAGGTCAGTGTTAATGTGTAGCTTGGTAGATTCTGCTCTCCTTCATACCGAGCGTGACATAATCTGTTTGGACCTTTTTCTCTCAGGTGTCCCTGTTGTCGTTCAACGTGGAGTCAGAGCACACCTTCCTGGATTACATCAAAGGAGGGTGAGTCCACTGTTTATATGAGCACATGGTGTATGAATGTATTACCTTTGCGGCTGGTTCCTCAGAGCAACAGCAATTACTTCATTTTCTTAAAGTCCCCCTCCGCTCAAAAATTAGTTTTACTTATTGCCACTTAACTTGGATGTTTGAGCTCCACTGTGCAGATGTTAGTGCAGATGTTGACATTAGAAAGCTGTTTTCACCTTCAACTGCTGAGGAGGGGGAAACTTTCTCTGTGCCCACCTGAAATCTGTGTTTACAATGTGTAAAAACCTTTGAAATGAAAATGATTTGAAGGAGGAGTAGATGTCATTTTAAGAATTTAACTTGGTAATTTAAAAAAAAAAAAAAAAACGAACATATCAGACCCACATGTTTTGATCCAAACAGACTATTTTACATGAGCTAAAACATGGAAAGGGCAATCTCTGCACCATCTCTGTCTAACTGTGGAGGGTAAATCTATCCGCTGGTTACGTTCATGTCTGTTCTGTGCCTGTGCTCTATGACGTCTGTTTTCATGTTGCATCAGATGTTGGTCATAATTACGAGTTTCAGAATATTATTTGTGATGATTGGTGTTTTCATCTCACTGTTAGAAATAAACCACCTCCCTAAAACCTTAAGTAACATCTCTGCTTGTCTGACAAAAGACAACAGGAGCTGGCATACACTGTTACAACAAGGAAACATGGCCACTTTTGTTGACGAGGGCCAGATAAAAAATTTAGCACATGAATTCTGCTTGCCACCTGTTGGCACCTCTGCAGTAGCTACAGCAACCAGCAGCCCTCTTGTCCATGTTGACCGTTTATCTTTAAAGAGGTTTCAAGCCCCCCTGTTTATACGTCTGTTCTGTCGTCTGCAGCTGGATTCGACAGGAACAGTAAAATAAATTATTGCCACATATAAAATGGCTCCTCGCTTCCAGTGTTAATCGTCAAAGACGGTGACGCAGCGTTTTTTTTTTTTTTTTTTTTTTTGGTTGGTGCTGGCATGTTTTGATGCTGTGGGCCGTCACAGTGGCCCGGTGGTCTCAGACAAGTACTAACTGGTTCCTGTCTGCCTCTCAGCTGTTTCCTATACAAGAAAGGAAAAATAAAGGGAAAAAGTTTTATTGCTGTATTTTTTTTTATTCAACTTCTTATTTGGTTGACCTAAAGTTCTTTTCTAGTTGCAAATAATTAGCATACCTCGAGGTCACTCCACTGAACTCTGTCTGTGGTCTCACTGTTCACAGACGCAGTGTTAGAATATCAATCAATAGTGGGAGTTAACTAGTTTGCAGGAGCAGAGAACATTAGTGAGCCCTGTAGACTTAGACATGTTGATGCTGTGACTAATACATGGAAATAAGGTAGAAAATCAGTGCTGTGAGATTTAATACAGTAGATTTAAATGCATTACTTCAGCTCCTGTGACTCATCCTGTTTCCCACCTCTCCTGCTGCCCATTGCAGTACAAGCACCCGTCCGCATTTGCCTCAGGGTTATTGACGACAGTGAGTGAGTGATCTGGAATTTTCCACATGTGTGTGCTGAGCGCTATGTGGCCGCGAAGGAGACGATCTTGTCCGCAGCCACAACTACAGTGTGAATGAATATGGATGACTGTGATAAAATATGGAGAAGATCTGAGAGCTTAATTAAGGCCGGACAACCTGTCACATATGGAAATGTTTCTCAGTGGATCAGTGGCTGCCCTGGTTTTAGTTTCCTGCTGCTTTGCTGCTGATGGCTGAGTGTCCCAGATCTGTCCTGTTGGTCTCTCTCCCCCCCTCTCACACACACACACACACACACACACACACACACACACACACACACACACACACAAAGTAACAGTGTTTTCATCTATACCTTTAACTACTTGTTCGCTTCAGATCTAATTTGTCCTAGAGACAATGAAGGAAAATGGAGGAAGAAAGAAAACTGGTACTAATACACTGTAGGTCCAAATCAAAATGTACAGCACTTACACACATATTTCAGGTATTGGGTTTTTATGACAGCTGTGGCTGAAGGCATTATGTTTTTGGTTTTTCCGTTTGTCCATCCGTCCGACGTCCGTCCGTTCCGTTCTTGTGAACTCTACATTTCTGTAACGCCTCGAGGGAATTTCTTCAAATTTAGCACAAACGTTCACTTGGACTCAAAGATGAACTGATTAGATTTTGTTGGTCAAAAGAGGCACACAATGCGACTCGGTAATAATAGTTTTGTTTTCATGTCTGTTCATCTTGACATCTTATCTCATCTTACACCCAGATAAACACTTATCCAAGTTCTGAGTAACCTAAAGACGAGCACGGTGATTTGCTGATACTGGGGTGTGTGCTGTGAGTATTCTCACTAGTGTTCTGAGTTTAAATTTCTGCGAGATGTGTAGAAGAAGAAAAACGTTCAGCTAGAAGTGGAATATTAAACGTCTGTGTCAAAGGAGACCTTAAAATAAGATTTAAAAAAAAAACAGCCCTAAATTGCCTGCAAAGGTTTTAAGACTACATCATTTAATTATTTATTGGATATTTTGCTTTCATGTACAGGGTGATTTGTCGGAACAGATAAATGTCTTCAGAAACTCAAAATTTATGAGGAGGAAGTCCAAAGAAATATCAGGACATGAAGACTAGCGCAACCATGCGGAGATTTAAAAACACGAAAGCTTTTCTTCAGATGAAAAAATGTGTTTCAGAAAGAAGTGTTTCTGAAATGTAGAGTGAAAGACACAACCGCTAACCTGTTGATCAGTGACGTCACTGTCAAAACTCCCGCTCCGATTTCTGGCGGATGACTTTACACGTAGCTGACAGAGTGGTGATGAAAAAAAAAAAACTGTAAAATGCACAATAATACAACAAATCCAGCAGCGCACACTTCAGAAAGATGGACCTATTGCAAGCACTGTAGACTCTTTTGGGTTACCTGCATTTCCGCTTAAGTAAAAATTTGACTTTACTAATTGTAATTAATACTGCCGGAGTGTTGGAACAGAAGGTGCACCTTCTGTTTGGTAGTAAACTAGTAAATGTTATGCATTCATAGATCGCTCCCCTGAGGAAGGCTGTTTCCCCCGAGGACATCTTGGTGTAGGTGAACGTGTGCAGGACAAGTATGAAATTTCATTCTGAGAGAGAGAGACTTTATTCTGATGGAGGTGTTAACGTGCATCGTGCTTTAATTGCAATTATTATTGGAGGAAAAAAAAAGTTATATGCAGCTACTGTTAAAGGCTGCACACACCTGAGTCTGTTGTTAAAGCACAATCCTCAGTTATTTAAACTCAGATTTGAATTGAACTCTTAATGAAGCCATCAGTTTGACGGGTTGACACAGCTTTTTATCCATCATGTTAAATGCGAAGTGGAAATCTTCACATGAAACTGTTTCGGACAGAAATGAGAGAGAGAGAGAGAGAGAGAGAGATTGCCCCATTAATTATTTTGACCCAGCATGGGGAGTGAAGCATTATGTAGAGTGGCAATTCATCTTTTTGTTACAGACATTTAGAGATGTTAAAAGCTCATCACTTCTTTCGGTGCCGTGCCCGGGAGAGGGAATGATGACAAAGACTATTACTTTAAAAAACACTCTGGGATCAGGGCAATTTTTTTTGAAATATGAAATCCCTGAAAGAAAATCGCTCCAGCATCAGATGTTGTGATATTTTCTCTTGAGGGCTTTTAAATCATCATGAAAGGCTCGCTGTAGCGTCTGTGCCTTCCTGTTGTCTTTGTCTCCCTGATGTTTTCCATGAGAAGTGCTCTCAATAATGGAAGTCTTTGTTTATTAAAATTCTTCATAAGGAGCCACAGAGATAGGAAGAGTCTGGAAGATACCATCAAAAACATGACAGGGGGGGGTGGGGTGCAGAAAGGCTCAATATTACTTTCCTATCTCTATGTACTGTAAGTCAAGTCTATCTCTATCTCTGCTTTTCTCTTTCTGTTTTGATTGATGCTCCATCTTTTCTCCACAAGATGGTTTTTGGGTCTCTGAGGGCAGAGAGCCGAACATAAACCAACTTACATCTTAACGTGCAGCCATTAGTGCTGTCAGAGTTCATCTGACGAAGAGTCACTGATGTAAATAATCTACATGTAGGAGATTTAACGCAACATTTTACTCATTATGTTAATGAATGGACCGACACCCGCAGCACCCCTGCTTTTTAAACGTGAAGGATCTCATGGATCCGGAAATGAACTTCATTATAATTCAATAATGACTTCAATCATGTATGCAATTATTTTTTTCATTCACTGATTCTTACTTTCATCCACTTTCTCACAGATAGCCTGATATCCTATTACAAGATGGCATTGTTGTGACTGACGAGACACTAAAACACTTCCTGCCTGCATTACTTCATAAGTGTGTATAAAGGATTTATTATACTGTGTGTCCTTGTTTCAGTTATGTCAGTTGACCTTATAGAAATAGAGTCTATAGCCAGGAAAGACCTCAAACATTACAAGTGAGTTTTCTAATAAACAAACAAAAAAAGTTTATATTCAGTGTTACCAGAACACACAGTGTGTATCCTTGATTTCTAACAAATGTGTTGATTACATTTTCTTCCTCTTAAACATTTACAAATGTGATTTTAAGAAAGAAAAAAAAAAAAGAAAAAGTATTTTACACCTTACATAGTTTACATTAGTGTTTATTTGCTAGCAGTCTTCTTCTGCCCGCCGTCACTGGTTCACTGGTTGGCATCGTTGGCAGGGCTGTGTATCGTGTCGCCCACGTGAATGTAGCTTCGTCCTCAAGTGCGTGAGTGGGACAAACAAAACAGCCGCTTGCTCATAAAAAATGCTCTTTAGTGCTACTAAAAGTTAAAAACTTCACAGGGAACCTTTTTAATATTGTATGTCCACAAATTAAAAAAAACAAACAAACAACCCAACCAATAATCTGTCCTGTAGGATTCTCAGTGTTATTCATCTCTCTATATATTTACTCAAAATATTAAAGACTACTTGTTTTTACTACTTGGTT